CTTGTTTGAGTTTAAAATGAGATATATGAATATGAAGGTGACGTAGATGTAGATGAACTCTGATTATCTTTTCCCAAGAAATAACTTATTGTTTTGCACGTAATCTCGTTACTTGCTATCTATGATCATATAAAGTTAGAGTCAATACTGGATATTTATTAGTGGATTCTCATCAAACAAAAAGCTAGGTCTAAAGGCGACCAATCTCATTTATATATATTCATGCAATCTGTTTTTATCTTGGAAAACATTTCGGGATAATAGAATTTGTTGAGCATAGGGAGTTACCATACATATACACATGTCTCTATATTAGTGAGATATTATCCGTTTTGGGTCCAAGCCCTCACGGTTTTACTTTTAGACATCACCAAAAAGGTCTATCAATCAATGGAGACAACTGTGTGTATATAAACTCATGTTCATCCTCTTGTTTGAATGGTGTGGGATTTTGCTTGCATCCCAACGATCCTCAGCGGAAACTACGAGTATTATCCGATGGTGGCCCGCACAGAGCTCACTCATGCTCTAAGTGTTTGTATCGTCGTTCCATCATGACCTTCCTCATGATAGCGATACACGCCTCCTAAGGAATCCCCAAACTTGGATCTACCTGTCAGCCATCATACTCGTTCAGCCAGTTACCTGATCATCGACTCTGATACTACTTGTTGAGCACCGAGGTTATCACACATATACACATATCTTCACATTGGTAAGATATTATCCGTTTTTTGGTCAAACCCTCACACACACATATACACATATCTTCACATTGGTAAGATATTATCCGTTTTTTGGTCAAGCCCCTCACAATTTTGCTTTTGGACATCAATAAAAGGACTCTCACAGTTTTACTTTTAGACATCACCCAAAAGGTCTCTCAACCAATGGAGACAATTGTGTGTATATAAACTCATGTCTATCCTCTTGTTTGAATGATGTGAGACTTTGCTTGCATCCCAACAAAATTTTATTTTAAAGTTCATGTTTAATATGAATATAAAAAATAAAAATGTGTACTATGGTATTCATTTTATTATGTTTAATGGAACAGATTTAGTATAAGTGGATTGAAAAGGAGACAAAATTGTAATTTGTATAAAATTAGAAATCATAATCGAAAGGAAAAGAGAAATGTTCGTGCATGGGAACATAATCAAGAATATCAAACATGTTCAATGGAAAACCAATTGATAAAGATCGTTGTGGACCCTCTGGATCAGGGCATTTAAATTTGCGTACTGAATCATGTTATTCCATTATATGATTGAAGAATATTATATCCCTATATTGGATGAAGATGATAATTCGTGTGGTTGCAATTCTTCATCGCCATATTTCAGTACAGTAACTTGCAACTTGTTGGCAAAACTCACCTAGTACTGATAAATATACTAAAGTGCTCGGTTCAAACAAAAGAAGAACAGAAAGAAAAAAAAAGGAAAACAAAATAACATGGAGAGATTTTTTGAGCCTTTGAGGTATTCTTTGTGATTGTTTTTTAAAATTTGTTTGTTTCTTAGGCATATTTAAAGGTTTATGTCCGTAAATGTTCTTATTTTAAAAATTACACCCTTGAATAAATTATTAAAAGAAAATAAAACTAGAAAATCAAAAACATCTCTAAACTATTACTGTTTTTGGATTTTTAAAATACTTGTGTTGATGTTGTAAAAAAAAATTACTTGTGTTAGAAAATATTTTTCAAAACCTAATAAATTTTATATGAGAAATATTGTTTGTTAAATAGTATGAAACTGTTTTAGTAAATAAGTTTTAACACAAAAAAAAAAAGGAGCAGAAATTCAAGCGGGTTCTTCTAACTCTTCACTTTTTCGCATCTCTCTAAATTTTCAAATCGAATAAGGAAAGTAATTAAAATGTCTCCTTTTTTTTTCTTCATTATTTTGAACTGAACAAAATGATTTTAAAAAATAACTTTTTCTTCCTTTCAATATTTTCGAATCAAACAAAAAAAATTGATTAAAACCTTCTTTTTCACTTATCAAACATCATATTAGAATATATCTTGATAGAGGTGACAAATTGGATTGATGAGAAATAAAAACACAAAAATAACTTAATCGAATCAAATTTTTCCATATTGCATATTTGTTGACATAGCTTGGCCCATTAAATGGGCTAATTGAGTTAAAAATAAGCTTAGTTTTTATCAAGCCTAAATTTATATAAATTTTACAAGAAAAATAAAAATAATAAATTTATTAGATCAAATAAGTTTATTATTTTTTAACTAATATTTTATGAGTCTAGTATGGTTCATTAGATTAGTCAATTTTTCTTAATTTTTTTAACCTAACCTTACTTATAAACTATTAGGTCAGATTTAATTTGCTATCTCTATGTTTGAATAATGAAGTTATAATTTATAGCATAGAATTTTAACAATAAATTTTGAAATTAAATTCCATTTCAAATTATAGGCCTTGTTTTTGAGTTGTATAAATACTTTGACATAAAATTATAATTTTAAAATTATTTATATTTTTATTGTGTAAATATATGATTTTAAATTTTTAAATGATTATGATAGTGTAATGGTAAAAATAATGTAAACAACATTAAAAATGATAATAATTATGTCAATGAGGTGGTTGAGGTGATGGTAGTAGTTACAATAATGATAATGAAACGTTTTTATTACAATTTTGGGTTTCCTTTGTTTAGTTCATGAATATTTTTTGTCCCCCTAATTTTAATTATTTGATTTTGGTTCACAAATTTAAAAAATTGGGTAATTTTAATCTTACTATTAGTTCACCATCCAATATGTATTGCATAAACATTTAATGTAGCATTAATTTTTTGTTTTTGAAAAATTAAATTATATTTAATACTTTATATTAAATAATTTATGAATTATGATAATAAATATTAAATATTTTATATTAAATAATTTGAATTACAAAAGAATAAAAAAAAATAATGTCATATAGCACTAATTGTTCAATTTAGGAAAATTCTACTAAATACAATTGCAATTTCGTTCCTCACATATTTTAAAAATTAGATGACAAACTCAATTATAAAACTAAAATTATTTTTCAAATGTATGAATCAAAATCAATTAATTAAAATCAGGGGATCAAAATTGTTCCCTCACTAAACTAAGTGATTAAAGTTTAATTAAACCTAACAAAAACAATAATAGTAAAAAAAATTTGAAAGGAAATAATAGTAAAATAGTTGGTTAGCAACATATATAGTAGGTATATAAGATTTAAACTAAGTTAATTTTGTGAATCCTTAGAGTTATCATACATTTCACGATTCTAATTATTCTATAAAGATCACCTTCAATTAAACTGTAAAAAAATAAAAACTTGAAACTTTAATTCCATACTCTTAGACAGTATGTTTGTAGCATGTGACAAATTCCATATGAATTGATTTCACAGTTAGTATGATTTGAACGTGAACTATACATGTGATGATGTGATCGTCCCCGTGATGCCTGTCTCTTAATATAATAAATTAATAATATTCAATAGGTACCCCACTTCCGTTCACACGCCATTAAAACATTTTTAACATGTAAAGGAAGCCCCACTTCTAACTGTGTTTCATAAAACCCTTTTCAAATTAATAAATGTATAATCACATATTCACGTACCTCTGCCAAGAAAACCACCATAATTTTTAACATAACTAAAATCATTTTAATCTTCATTTTTTGTAAACTATTATATTAATTATTATATAAAAAATTAACATTTTATCAAATCTAAAATTTAAAAATAATTCATAACACCAATTGAATTGATATTTTTTTATTATTTATTTTTTATTTAATTTTTAATGTTAATAGATAAAACCTTATTTTGGTATTTACATTTATTTTTTACTCTTATATTTTTTCACTAATTTATTTATTTATTTTTTTAATTTTTGAACTAATTTATGTAACCATTTTATTATTTAAAATTAATTACATATTTTTTAATTTCAAGATTTTTATTTTTTTTCTTAATATTTTTTAATAACAAGACACAAAATGCGTCATTTCACTCATTTGAATAATGTAAATTGCATATAAGACACCTTACTTTTCAAGATCGCTTAACCTCTATTAACTCTAGTTAAACTCCAAACCCTTAGTTAATTTATTCGTTAAAGTAAACAATGATTGTCATCAAGGTACAATAGGACATGAATTACTCACATGACTTGTCCTAATTTAAATAAATAAATAAATATATATATATATATATATATATATTGAATACTTATTATATTTTTTATTTCTTTCATATATACTTGTTAATTTTAATTTGATTTAAAAATAAGCTCAAAAAAAATTCTTTATCGATCATCTCTAATCACTTTATTTAATCTTTATCTATATATTTTTTAACTACTTATTTCTCTTAATATATTACTTTCATTTCATTTTTAATTTTAAATTTAACACTTACAAAATCCTCAATTGTTATAAATAACATTTTTTTTAAAATAAATTTTTAGATTTTACTATTTATTGATAACCTGGCCTGCATCAAACATGTCGCATATTATCACTCGTGATATATATTATATAAATATAACATTATCATTAAATGGTGACAGAAATTATATAAAATTAATGAAACAAAATCTAAAATTAATTTATATGTACTCAACAAAATTAATCTTCTTTATTGATAAAAAATTGATTTAATTTTAAAATTAAAATAATTTATATGTATTATCGATAAAATATTTAAATATTTTTATATGTACATTCAACTTTGTCACATTATAAACTATTAAAATCAAGCTCACGATAAGAGTTGAAAAATTAGAAGTCCAGTACTAGTACGTATTTATAAAAAAACATACTATCACATTATGTTGTACTAATAAATAAAATATTAATGAATGTGTGCACAAAAATATTTATACCACACAATACAATAAATTAATAAAATATGTTACTATTATTTGCTGAATTAGTTATGAAGAGATAGAAGGAGGAGGGGCATAGGTAGTCCATACTCTATTGCTACTCCACCAACCATATATTATTGCAAGCAAAAGCAAGTGAAAGAATCTAAGTGAGTTACCAACAAATTAATAATCTAAAAAGAAAAAAGTAGGGAGAAAAAATCCTGAAAAATTTACAAGTATTGTTTTAACAAGAGAGAAAAGAAACATTAATTGATAAAACACAGTTAGAAAGCTAAAAAAGAAAAATATTTGCTGAAAGCATGAATAAGAAGAATTAATAAACACTAGACAGGAAACATTTATCTACAATATAATCTGCTCCATCCCGTCACGTGAAGTGATGCGATGCGTGACAGACAGCAACTTCTTTCTTTACATTGAAGACAACTCACGAGTTAACAGAAGCTAACGAAATCAAGGCATTCCTTTGTTGGCGTAGGAATTGACGAGCGCCAAGGCATTGCTCGTCAACTTCTTAACACTGCTCACGCGATCGCATACATCCGTTTTCACGGGACAGTCCGCAACGTCCTGGAATCCCTCCGTACACGTCTCCTCGTCGGTCAGGGCTGCGCTCATCCACGTCTGCACGTTGCTCATCTGGAAGAGGAACGAGGCGCCGCCGCTGCCGGCGGCTCCAATCTGCCGCATCTGCTTCAGAGACCCGCGGATTTCGTCGGCGGCGTCGCCGAGGTTGGAGAAGCAGTCGCGGAGGGCGAGGGCGGCGCGCGCGGTGGCGGCGTAGTCGGCGTCGCGCGTGAGGTTGGAGAGGTGGGAGGCGGCGCGGTGGACCTTGGCGAGGCTGACGGCGATGGCGACGCGCGCCAGCTGGGCGGGGTTTTGCTGCACCGCATTGGCGTAGCGGGAGAGGGAGGTGTAGCAGACGTCTGGGTAGAGCGTGGTGTTGCAGCTGGTGCGGATGAAGTCGGCGTCGGCGTCGGCGTCGTAGGCGGGGGCCGGGGCCTGGTCTTGGGCGGCGGAGAATGCGGCTGCGAAGAGGAAGAGGGAGAGGAGGAGGTAGTGAAAGCGTTGGGTTGTCATTGTTTGTTCTGTTATGGTTTTGTGTTGATGAGTGAGAAAGTGAAGGGGTTTTGTAGGCAACACCTTCGTGTGAAATTACTTTCTGCATTCAGTACCTGTTCCCCAAATAACAAGAATGCCATTCATTCTATTTTTTATTTTTTCTCAAATGCAACCCACTCCTTTAATTATAACTCATTTTTTAAATATATATACATTTCATGTTATTACTCCCATGCATGTTTTTGAGTTTAATCAATAAGATATGATCTGTCTACTCCTCTCACATTAATTATAGGTGATAATTTTTTAAATATTATCCTCAACTTTCGTTTATGTCCAAAATTTTATATATATATATATA